GTTGGGGGTCACCACAACATGAGGAACTGTATTAAAGGGTCGTGGCATTAGGAAGGTTGAGAACCACTGTCTTAGGGGCTATTTTCACATTTACAGTCTATGAGTATGTGGTGGGCTCCTCTGTGTGTATGACTGTTGGAAGGAATCCTATATAATAAAAGGGTAATATGCAAATCGACCGAACAGCGGAACGACGTGCACTGACTACCAGGGGGCAGATGCTCAACGTAGGAGCTGCCCTCTGGTGGTCAGTGCACTCCTCAGCCACATGCCGGGCTGATGCCTGGAGAGCGCAGCAGCCCGCCTCCATGGCAGTGCTAAGCATGTCCGACTGCGGGGAGCGGGCCTAAGCCATCAGTTGGACATCCCCTGAGGGGCTCCCAGACCATGAAAGGAGCAGACCAGGCTGAGAGACCTCCCTACCCCAGTGCACAAATGTTGTACACCAGGCCTGTAGTTCTCTATAAATAGATACGAACCCTGGTCATGATGTAGTTGTGCAAGCTGTTCACAAAGTGCATGAGCTTCACGCGCAAGAGGAACATGCGATGAATCTGCTGCCTCACTGGTTTCTTCTGTGGTTCAAACTGGGCAGCCATTTCCTGTCCACACAAAAGCCCATCCTGCAGTGGTGGCTGTCCAGCTAGTTCTGTAAAGGATTCAAAGAGCAGTGTGGGGGACGAGCTCCACTCCAAGCTGACCCTCCTGCTCAGGGGAGGTCCTCGGCCGGTGGTCACCATGTGGATGGCAGAGACGCCCCCTTCAGAGTCTCTGGAAGTTAAGCTCTGAGAAGTTTCCGTATCACCTGGATGATTGCTGTTATCAACAATGTATAGGGAAAGTCCCATGACTTGTCATTAGAATTTTCACATTACCTAAGATGAGTTATTATTCTGGCTAAATTCCTAATCAAGTTGTTGTATTTCAGGTTAACTGTATATATATCTGGTATTTCATTCAGGGACATTAATTCTGACATCTGTAAAAATGCTGCTATGAATACATGTCATTTTGGTACTCGTATATACCAACCTCTTTTCAGGGCTAAAATTAAATGATAATTTATCTGCGGAAAACAAATCTTACCACCAAATAGTAAAACATCCAGACTGTATTTTGCCCATTTTATTTGCAGTAGGAGAAGGAACACCTGATTATAAATTTTTTGACATTCTGAACTTATAACAATGTCCACAGGCCATGGGACCTACGAAAACAAGAACAGAAAATTAGAATAGAAAGTAACCCATCACAGGCACATTCTCATTTTAACAGAAAGCAATGTTCTTACAAAGAGGACCAGCACTTACCTTATAGCTCAGAGTCAGGCCATCTAAAATGTGAACGGGGAGTTTCTTCTTAGTTGTGTCCACATTTTCAAAAGCTATAGATAGACTAGATAAAGAAATTTCATTTTAGTTTGTGAAAATATTATGCTCATATAAAAATGCTCTTTTAAAAAAAACACTTATCACTTTAACATTTATTTTATTTACATTGTATTCCAGAAAAAGACACAGTATTTCATAAAAGGTGTGCAAATATTCCAAGAAAGGCATATTTTCTGACATATATTCCAGAATAGGAATTTGGCTTTGGAAATAAGAGGGACAAGTTTTCAAATACTGAATTCACCTATAAAAGAGAAGAGACACTTCACAGTGGTCGTAGGTTAATTAGGGAGAGACGAAGGCAGGGTGTTAACTCTGAAAAAATGCAGGCAACGGGCTTAGAAGCAAACCTCTGCTCTCCCTGAGTGTGTGTGTGTGTGTGTGTGTGTGTGTGTGTGTGTGTGTGAAGTGAGGTCTGCTCCGAAAGCACGGTGATTGCTCATTTTATCCACTCATCCCTAACACTGGTTTGAATGTGACTCTCGATAGAAAGCAGCTACCACAGCGTACGGGAATGTCCCTGTGCCAGGCACCGTGTGGGCACAGAGTGCCTTGCCATCACTCTCCCACGTCTTGCAGTGACTGAGAAACCATGCAGTGCTTGGGGTGGCAGGGCCCCGAGTAATGAGCCCGGGAGCAGACCACGGAAGGCACGGCGGGTGGCCTGCAATTTATGAATTAGCCCATTCATTCCACATCTTAGGCACTAGTCAGAATTTTTTAGCTCTTAAGTTTGTTATACAAGCATCTACTAAGTACTAAGTAGGCACCTACTGAATACCTCATCAGGTGCCAAACTAAGCAGATGATAGACCTCGTTTGCCCCCAGGGGCTCACCCCCAGAGCAACCATGCAAGTCACCCTCCTGTCACTGAGGAGTCACAGGATGCTGCCCGAGCCAGGCTAGTCAGAGCTTTGTAGGAGAGCAGACCATGCCAGGCCCTGCAAATGGGAGAGCTTGTCCCTGCAGGCAGTGGGCATGGACTGCTCCTGCAGTGGGAGATACAGCTCTGGGAAACCTGAAGTACTGCATACCATAGGATGGAACCTGTGGGAGGAGAACGTGATGTGCCCACATGTTGATGTGCACAGAGAACCCGAGTTGCAGCAAGAACCACTCCTTCTCTAGAGAAGCCCCACACATCTGTCCCGAGGCCACAGTGAGGGGCCTGCGTGTGAGGGTGCAGGTGTTGCTGGCTTGCCCACCAACTCTGGTGGCCTTTGGGGTCAAGTGGAAGGGGAGAAGCTGAGAGCTGTCAGGAGGCATCAGAGAGGAGCTTTCAGATGAGCAGCACTGAAGACACAGGAATATGTGACATTCGAGCAGTCAAAGGTGTTGGCTGTGCAGACACTTGGGCTACACTACTGATTTCCAGGTCATCAGGGGTCAATGAAGCCTTCAGTAGGGAAGGGACTTGCCCAGGAACGAGTGCTGAGGGAGGAGTGCGAGGTGGGGGGCAGCCTTGGCCTTGGTGCTGGACCCAGGGGATTCTCCCTGGGACTCAGGAAGCCCGAGGGCGCAGACAGACATGAAGAGCACATGAAAGCCATAGCAGGAAGGGTGCGCGGCTCCTTGCCCCGAGTTAACCTATGAACGAATGCAATCTCAAAAAAAAAAAAAATGCCTTGCCCTAGGCCAGTGGTCGGCAACATGCGGCT